ATTTACTTAGTTAACCAAAAATTAAATTAAATTTTAACAATTTCTTACTAATGCAACTTAATCGAATTAAATAAAAATAATTAATTTTCCCAGCTTTGCTTTATATTTAAATTCGTGTTTTAAACTTTCAAATAATACTGAACAGTGAATGATGTAATATTATATACAAAGTCAACTAAAATGAGAAGTGAATAGACCGAGCCTTTTGATAGTGAAGTTAAAATTTTTTTCTCCGTTTTAAACCGACGACACTACAGGAAAATGCTTTACACTACTATCGCAAAACAAAGTTTCGCTAGTATTATAATACTATAATATATATTCATGAAAAGATAAAAAAACACATTCATAACGAGTACACCTCTATCAATCATACTTTTTATTATTTACATGTGTGATGTTGCTTTTTTGTAAGTCTGTAGGTACGCTCGTGCAGTTGTCCAACTATTATAGGATGCGTCGGATAATAAATTAGACGTATTACATGCCGTACATTGCACGGTGGCATCGCGATGTGGGAGTCGTCCTCGTTAACCGTTGCCCAATTTGTCCGTTCAATTGTGTCTGGGTTTATTATATTTTACAGTTCTGACATCTAAAATGTCCGTGTACTAGGGTATTTAATTTCCGCCTGCACACACATGTATTATAGAATTATGTTTACTGCACCGCCACGATTAACCCACTTATTAATGTGAATATTATTATATTTTAACAACAATTACAAATTTAGGTATCTACGATAAAAATTATACCGTTGCAGGAAGAAGTATAATTAATTTTGTTCTTCGCGCATCTGTTTATATAGTAATGTAATATCACATTACACGCTATAAATGTATATTATATTCACATTACACATAAATTCACAATGTAACGTGTAAATAACAAATTAATATCGCACTCATTTGAATATTTGATAGCGTGGTAATTAATAGTTATTATTAGCTTTGGTGTAATTTGTAGTATCTACGCTAAAAAAGAAATTATTACTAATAATAATTATTAGGTATATAATATGAGTAGTTTTGTATTTAATTTCAACTATTGATATATAATTTTAGGTCATATCGTCAAAAATAAGTGTCAGTAAAATAGGTTATTTAATATTTTTTCTGTTGTATTTTATCTTTTATCTGTTAGGAAGAAAATCGATACAAATGTAATAATATACAATGGTATAGCCAGTGTTCAAAAATGTATCGAAATACGATACAACAGTAGGTTATTTAATTTAACACGTTAAAATGACTGCGATAGGCAGCGTATTAGAAAAAAATAAAAGCAAATATTAATATTTTGGTGACTTGTCAGTGTGTTGTGTGTGACAAGTAAATTGATATTATAACAGAGTAGTGTGCGAGTCTAATTTATTGCAGAATTGTATCATCCATATGAATGCTTGAATTATTCAATGTGATCTTTCTTACTTGCAGATACTTCTTTTTTATGTTACTTAGAAAGACATACAAATATAAAATATCGTTATTATAATTGTCGATACCTCAGTTGAAAATCAAGTATTGAAGCATTTGTTTGTTTTGAACATAGACAAACGTCAGTGAATATATTTTAAAATTAAAATTAAGGTAACCAACACCTTAAAATTTTGTTAGAAGATAAAGTTTAAATATCACCTTTTTATATGAATAAAAAATAGGTAAATTATACAAAACAATAGATACGAAGTATATAGTGTAGAAAGTTTGTTATAAGCTTACAATACATCAGATCTTCAGCGAGCGCTGTAAAACTTAAATATATTATTATAACTGCCGGGTCACTGGAGATACAATAGTGTTGAATGAAATTCAAAACATAAGATTGTTTCTAATGTAATCTTATTTTTTGTTTCATTTTCATTATACTTTTTAAACTAAGTTAGTGGTGTAACTAATATTTTCACGCGCGTGTTGTGTATTTAGGGGATCCTAAACAAGAAGTATATTTCATAACAATTAACAAAAAAAAAAAAAAAAATGTTTTTATTGACTTGCATTTAAATATCTCAAAATAAATTACGATAACACATATTAATTATTATTTATTATCTATAATAACTTAAGGTTGATAAAATCAAAGATTTTTATTTGAATATTTTTATTAACATTATAGTTATAATGTGAATCCTGAGTTCGCCTCATTCGATGCGCCTACACTGAATTCAGTGGATTATAGTTACTACAAATAGTTTATGATTCATTGGAATAAAATTTAAATATTACAATATGAAACAAAATCCTAAATAATATATACTAGTATGTTTTGTTATCTAATGGAATTTACAACATCCATCTAAGTGCAATTTTATAATCTCACAGAACGACAACAACAATATCTGTATACATAATATAATGCACATTCTTATTTTTTATAACTTATACATCGGCACGGTTGGCGTACACAGCTCCAACATTATACATTTATACCTATTATACTAAGTTTGCGAATACAATAAAATAATATATACGTCAAACATATACCGTATAATTTGACCGCGCCGTTTTCGGGTCATCCGGTTTACTGGTTTTGGCGACCGTGATTTCGAGACGAGTAATTAAAACGAAAACGATCGTAAGACAAATAACCGTGTGTGTTAATAACAATAATAATAATAATAATAATAATAATAATGTAACGTGGCTTTATCCGACGTAGAGGGAAGAGAAGGCATCCATAAAATACATGCCTCGTCGGTACTATATCGTTGTTCATGCTTTGGCCGGCACGCATATCTCGTAATATAGGTAGTTAGGTACGTATAGAGTATAGACTATAGAGTATTATGAACACGTCTTTTACCCGTTATAAATTGCACGGTAACTATGCACACACACACACACACACACACACATAGACACGCTTATAATATATTGTAAGTTTCCATGTACATATAATAAATAGATAACAGCTGCTATAGTACTGTAGCAGTTTTACATTTGCGTCTTTGTATCGACTATAAAATTATATTATTTTTTTATAACTTAAGCTTAAAATACAAGATAATAATATATATTATTATGAATTCTAACTTTTAACTATCAATCTCTAGGACAACTGCAATGATACCCAAAAACAGAACTCACATTGTTCAAAAATGTATTTTAAATATTATCGATCAATATTAATATAATACTATATTTGTTGCTAAAATTATTTAAACTCTTTTTATTCATATATTTAATTCTATATTCTTGATACATAATATTTTAATGTTAATTCGTGTTTAATAATACAGCGATTTTAAAAGCATATTTCTCTAGTTTACGTACTTCGTGCATAATATATAATTCCGTTCCCTAATTATAGGTATATTATTAGTACAATTTTAAAGTAAAAATTTGTACAAGTATGCATAGTACTATAGATAAACACGTATATTTATTATAATCATACAGCTGAACAATGTGCATTTAACTACATGCATATTTTTCTGTAAGTACTAGTATAGTAGGTACCGATAATGTTTTTAATTTAAAAATTATAGGTATACTACGTTTCACATATTATTATGTTATATTGATTATTTGATTTCATGTGATGATAATAGGTATAATATTATTTAATACTTACAAATAGGTAATATTTGCGTTATACCATTTCTACTTCAACTCGCCACGGTGCTCTAAACATATTTCATCGTCTTTTCATAGAATACAAATGTACAGACATTATTCGTATGATTTTTATAAAATTTGCTCTTTATATTTTATTTTGGTGTTGTTGATTGGCCAATAACATTAGGTAGGTTACCTATAATGATAAGGTTGAATAACTAAAATTTGTTAGTATTTTATTAATAAATAGACTTTGTTAATTTGCTGCTATTAATCAATAAGGCTTTGGGTTTTCGATGATTAGTTGGTTGTTTTAAATTTAAAAAAAAAAATATTATTATTAACACATCGCTAATGAGCCAGGTGGATTCTATGACGAAAGACGAAAATAGAATATTTGTTTTGTAGAAAAAGAACACTGGTTTAATTGTAAGTGTTGTAAGCTGTAACCTATATAGTATTTGATGAATACACCAACTCCAAGTAATCAACACATAGGTACAGTCGTTAAATTACATTGCATCGTCACGGGTTCGTTTTATACTAACTTCGTAGGTACTTGTATTTAGAATATTGTTCAATATGATTTTCTAATATTGTTAGATCACACCTATTTGATTGAAATTTTAAATAATTCGTGTTGGTCCTTCTTACTTGTGTGGAGTATGCATCATAATTCATAATCATACACTTTTGTATTCATCCCGTATTTTAATTGTTACTGAAAATATTTGATAACATAGGTGCCTATATTATAACAAATTTAGGATGCATAATAACGTGTATACTGAATAGTTATTTACTGGCATTGTCCGGACAATGCTTAAATGTAGTATACTGCCTATTATACAATATTTTCATAGGTAGTGTTGCAATAATTGAAAATAACTAATACTCAATAAAACAATGTAAGGTTGCCACTAACCGAATAATTCGATTGCACAGTTGTTTGAATACGATTTATTTTATTGTACCCATCGTGAAAGTAATAAATAATTAAGTGTATAACAATACACAATTATTACGATAAAAATAACTTCCAATTGGTTTGATTTCTCAGTAAGAATAGGTAGGTACCGCATTAATAATTGGTTAATGATCGCAATATCCTTAAATATAATATTGCCATTTTCTTTCTTGTTTGTGCAAAATCAGATTTATCCTCGCATTCCGGGGGAAAAAGCAAATTTCTTTTTCATTAAATACTTATAAAAATTACAATAATTCTCGCTGCGTTTGTTTATACAGTTTATGTAATATTCAATAATAGTAATAATCTTTATTCGCGCAAATTAATTAAATTTTTTTTTTTGTATTTGACAATATTGATGATAAAATTATTTATATGCTATATATTATAGAAATATAAAACATAATATAGTACCTACACATACAAAAAATACAAACATAAAATTATTTTATTTTTTTAATTTTTTTTTACAGAGATTATTTTGGGCTATTATGCCTTATAGTATGTCTTTGCATAAGTGAATCAAAGACACAATGCCCATGGCAAACGGATCCATCATCCGCAGAACTTCAGTCGTCCTGTATATGTTCAACAAATATGGCACAAGAATTATCCGTGCAGTGTGATCTTGTGAATTATGAAGTATTAATGCAAACACTCGATAAATATTCACAAGGAACACTGGACTTACTTTATATAAATAATAGTTCAGTTAAAACTATTGATGATTCTAGTTTTGCTAATCTTAAAATTCACAATTTACAATTATCGGGCTGTCAAATACACACAATATCACCAACAGCATTTAAAGGATTAGAAATTTATTTAAGACATTTAAGTCTACAAGACAATAAATTAGATGAAATACCCAATTTAGAAGGACTTATTAACTTGACATTATTGGACCTTTCAAGAAATCGAATTTCAAGAGTTCCAGATAATGTATTTGCTTCATTAAAAAATTTACAAACAATAAAACTAGCAGATAACAACCTTACATTATCTAAAAATGCATTTAGAGGTCTTGAAAACAGTCTAAAGAATTTGAATCTTAAAGGAACAAATCAGAAATATTTACCCGAGTGTATAAAAAGTTTAAAAAATTTGGCATTTTTAGATTTAGCACAAAATATTTTAAGTGAGCTACCAGGAAGTTCTGCACATATTTTTCAAGGTTTAGAAGCTTTAACTGCTCTCAATTTAGAAAGAAACGTAATTCAGTCTTTGGGAGAATTCACGTTTGATGGAGTCAAAAATACACTAAGTTCACTGAGTTTGCTCAATAATTTACTCACTGATTATCCAACTACAGCTATTAGTAAGCTACCAGAACTGAGAGTATTAGATCTTGGCTTTAATCTCATTAAAGAAATACCAAATGACGCATTCTTAGCAAATCCTTCTTTAACCTTACTAGCATTAGATGGAAATCCTATCGAAACTATTCCCAAAAAAGCATTTACACATCTAAATACTACTTTACGTGGGTTAAGCTTAGGAGGACGATATTTACAATGCGATTGTCGGATACGATGGGTAATAGAATGGATTAAAAACGGTGATTTACAAGTGACCAGCAGAGAAAGAAATCCTCAGTTTTGTGCTAGTCCATCATATCTTAAAAATAAACATTTCTATAAAATCGATCCTTCAGGTAATATATGGGTTTCTTAAACATTATTATTTTTATTTTTACAATTAATATTTTAAATTACAGAAATGGTATGCGATAATGATCAAAGTCCTTCTGATGCGTCAACAGTGTTAGACACTATTATAGAAGAAGACGATGAAGATTCCCAACATCAGATTGGAACTGGTGTTGGATATGCTAGTCCTACAGTTGTTTCACCCGATGTATTTCCGTCATCAAAAAATAAATTAAAAAAGAATCCTCCAATAGCAGAAGTAGAAGTTGTGAAAACTACTAATACTTCTGAATTACTTGGAATGATGGAAACTACAAGAACTATTCCTTCAACTACGGAAAGTACGACGGTTTCAGTTGATACAACAACAAAATATTTTGTACAAAACTCTACAAATGTTAGTAAATTTGGTAACCAATAACATAAAGGATAAATCAAATATAGTTTACATTAAAACATATGTTTTTTCAGGCTAAACCAACAAACACAAGTCGTAAAGCCAATTTAGTTATAACACGGCCACAGACAGTACAGACGTCCCAGAAACCACCGCTAATACTAGGTTCTTACCCTAAAAAACAAGTTCAAGAAGTCATCATAAGGAGTGTTCACAGGCAAGATAATTCCGTTATAATTCAATGGGATTCCGAAACGGCAAATATCTTGGGATTCAGAGTTGTATATAGGCTTTTTGGAGACCGAACTTTCAAGCAAGGTCCGCCTCTCGAAACCAGTGAACGAGAGTTTAAAATTAAAAACGTACCATACCAGGTAAATAAAAATAGACATAAAACTGTTTGTACCAGTAATAATGTGTTATAAATTGGGGAGATACCTCTATATAATCTAATATCAGTTAAATTAATAATCATTATAATTATTAGTGGTTTTATAGATTTTAATTTAAAATAATGACCACATACTATAATATTATATTAGTTATACCAGCGATTATTAAATTGCATGTGATTACCCAAACATAGTGTAAATAACTATAAATCTCTGTTTTAAGTATAAAATAAGCAAGTATGTTATAAAAATTTTAGATAGCGCTTAAAACCGTTAAAAAATAGTAAGAGAAAAAATTAAAACCTCAAAATAAATTCAAAATAAAAATAAGAAAACCTCTATAAAATATAAATTTATTTGAAATGTATTATTGACCATTGGTACCAAATAAGTAATTACTACGATTATGTGAATATAAAATATGTTTTTAAACCAAAACCATTAATCTCTAAACTAGGTAACCAGTAACAAAAAATTGAGTAGATACCTATAAAATGAATGATCGAAACTTAAAAATGGATAAGAATTACTATATCAGTTGCAGGATTGCACTGAAACGCGTTATATAGGCACTCAGTAGTATCGTTACTGTAATTAATAACTATTGCAATTGATGCAGGAATGTATCATCGTATGTGTCATATCTCTGGAAGAAATAACCATCACACCGGACACGGTGCCATACAGCCAGTGCCGAGAAATACGGACAGCGGTAACGATGACGAGTAACATGGACCGAATAACGATAGCGGCGAGCGCAGCCATATGCGGTACGGTCTTGATCGCAGTCGTCGTGTTCATTGCGGCTAGTAAGCGTCGCGCCAAAAAACTTCAAACATTACACCACTCAGTAGCGTCCTGCCATCCAAGCAAAAACGGCATCCCGGTCGGCACGTTGCCAGCGAACTGTTACACCGGACAAAACGCAGCCCAAATGTCCTCGTTGGCCGCCCTAAATGCGTTTAACAGTCACAAGGATTGGGACCAGGGTTCGGTCTACAGCAATCGGAGTCTAAATCCATCCCGAATGTATCGAGTAGCCGATAGCAGACAAGGTGAGAATGTCGTAACAATTTTTGACGGCGCAAAAAGCGTCGACTACTTAGATTCAAATCACTAGATGCATTTATCATAACGAATCGGTGTAATTATTTTTCTTTAGGACTCAACGAAGACTTACATTCGAACGTTTCAAACTTCAGCGCTAAACCGCCGAAGATGCGTTCGGTCGCTGACGGCCAGTCGCAAAACAGTTTCTCCAACAACTCCATGAGGTATTTGGGCGGAAACAACGCATACGCATCCGATCTGGTGAACTCCAGGCCCGGTAAGTCGACGGATGCATCGGATGATCGACCGATATCCTCGCGACAATAATAATAATAATCATAATAACCGAATTGATCTGTTCGGCAGAATTGAGGCAGTCGCGGCAGTCGTTGGCCGTCTCCGAGAGGATGTCGCACATCAGTTATCCTGGCAGTGGCCGCACGAACACGTCACGCAATAAGCCCAGACAACGTTCGAGGACCAGAGATGGAACGCAAAACAGACCGCCCAGTAGGTACAGTCACGCCGGTTCCCATCACACGCTCAACAATTATTGCGGCGGAGACACGTCGGATAACTGGACCGATCACGACATGGACATATACATGACCAGAAATCCGACGACCAGAAACGGTCTTGTGCCACTATAGAATGTTATTATTATTAATATAATGAGATTATTAGCCATTAAATGTACGATACGCGCATGATGCACACTACGTATTATAATATACAATTATTGCAATATACGTATACAGTAGGTATACACATACAATAAGCACTTGGAGAGCTCAATATTGTAATTTATTTATTTGTAGCATTTATTTTATGCAACTATGACAACACAGTATTATAACTATATGGTATATTATGGTTATATTCTTATTAAATGTCCGTTTGACTAATTAGACTTAAGACTATAATAGTCGTAATATTATGCAGAATAATATTGCGATCATACATATGTACCATAATTTTTTTTTCGGCATATAATTAGATAACTTTTTACGTACATATTACATTTAACACTGTTCATTCTTAATATTATTTCAAGTACAAATAATATGAATACGTTTAGAATCACGTATGACAAGTAATTGAACAATATTATAATTTACTTATTTTCACATCGTATGATTAAATTGTAAATAACAACAATCATTATTTCGTACCATGTAGGTAATATCTAATATATACATTGTTTTATGTATCTACCTTACACAGATCCAATCTAACTAAAAACATATATAATTTAAATTTTACTTTTATACTTTTAATATAACGAACAGTTGTAATTAGTTTTACAGATTATTATAATTTTATTTTTTATTTATAAGTAATTGAGGTACTACTATGATTATATCGAGTTATGTCCTACCTCCACCACACATAACTCGTGTACCTATGACAATAGCAATACTTTATTATTAAATAATAATTTTTAATTTTTAATCAAATTTATTATTAATTGTTGTTCAATCTATTTACGTTTATAATTATTGTAAAAATATTAGAAATTGATAATAAATTAATAAAATCATATTCATTTATTGTCAATTTTTATGAAGTAAATACTATAATATTAAAAATATTCAATAAATAATTGTACATAAATTATTATGTAATTATTCAATAAAAATCAATTATATTTAAGTTTATACATATATAGCATATTATTAAGTATATAGTAATATAAGTGACATACATTTTAAATTATTAAATAATTTGATACATACTAAGTTGTGTTAAATATTTTTTAAATTGTAATATTTTTCTGTAGTGGAACAACTGCTCGGTAACTGGATAGAATTAAACATAATTATCAACAGCCACCTGGCGAAACGATGAAGGAAGTGTGTGGCAATATAATATAGTAGATAATAAAATATTTCTTAAGGTACCTAACTTTAGCCAAAGCTAAGGATAATTATAACTTATAAGTGACCTTGTTGGTTTAAGTGGTAAAACATGGTGGGTCATGATAACGTAACGATGAATTTATTGCTATTAGTATGGAATTTAATCATCCGACAGAAAAATAAGTTAACACGACGAGAGTATGAATTAAATAGAAAATCATTCTAACGACTAAATTTTATAACTCAACAGTAAAAGGGTTTGCTCGATAATTCACCAACACTAAGCGGAGCGAATGTACACTATATTATATGGGTATCTTACAAAAATCAATAATAATAAAATGACATAATAATATATGTATGTTAAAAAAATGTATAGATCATAATTTAAAAATTTAAAGGCTCTCAAAATTTTATCGGCATTGAAAACTCAAACAACTTTAAAAAGACTTTGGATATAAACAATACTCAGTTGTAAGTCTTTTAAATCACATTTCAAACTTTTTAGTTTCATGTTACACATAATCATCATTAGGTCCATCCCTCTATTTTGATTAACACCTCTTGCGTATTTGGGTAGACTTCATGAATATTTCGTATTTGTCGTAGAAATTCAGATCGGAATTATTTATTTTTTTTTTTTTTTTTGGACTACAAGGATCAGTTTCGCATTTATTTTTTTGGTTAAGAAGTAATTTCATATTTCTTTTTTAGACAGCAACAAAGTTTAGTTTCACATTTCTTTGAACAACAAGCTTTAAAATTGCACTTGATTTGCTCAATTGTTTCTGATAATAAACACATTTGTTTTAGTTGACCTTCTCTTTCACAGATTTTATTTTTCAGTGCGCTTATTTCCATACATTTACATTCATTTTCTTTTTGCAAGTCCGTGACTTTTTTGTTCAAAGAACATAAATCATTATTCCTTGCACAAATTTCTTCTTGTAATTTTTGTATTCGGTTTTTTAGTTCTAAATTACTTTTAGCATTTACTTTATTCATTTCTATTAATTTTGAAGCGAATTTTTTAGATTTACATTTCTCGTCGTTTAATTTGCAGTTAGCTTCATCGTATCGGATCTCCAAGTCGTTAATTTTTTTACAGCTTTTTATCAATTCGTTTGATAAATTTTCTCGTTCTTGCATGAATCGTTTCTCCATACGAGTAGCAGATAGTTTTGTGTCACATAAACTTTTTTTTGTACATTTTAGATCTACATTCAATGTCCCATTTGTCTCATTTAATTTTTTGAATTCAATTTTACATCCTTCGACATCACTGCGAACTTTATAGAGTTCCTGTTCGTTGCACTTCAACTTTGTCTTTAATTTATTAATTGTACTGTTCTTCTCTTCTAATTCCGACTAAAAAATATAAATTTGACTTTAAAGGTTTAAAGGTAAAACAATAATAGTTTGGTAACATTTCTGTTAGTAAAACTGAAAAACTAAATTTAAGCTAAACGCCATATTCAAAATTTTTATTTGGCCTCACGACAACGATAATCATTGCAGTCAAAACATCAAACAAAACATACCAAATAGCCGTACCAAATTTAGCAATATTAGGTTAATTTAATTAATTGTAACAACATAGGTAATAAATGAATCAAAATATTTAGAACAAATAATATGTAAACACATTGAAAAATGTTATGTTTATTATATAAGTACCTATTAAGTATTTATATGTTTACTTATATTATACCAGAATCAATAGCACCAAATTCATTGTTCCTGCAAAAATGGCGAACTTTGTATAATATGTAAGTATTTGTAATTAATATAATATAATATTTTGTTTTTCATAAATTTCGATTTTTATAAATAAAAATAATTAAACAATATACAGTAGTTTTTTTATAGTATTCTAATACCAGTTTTATAAATAATTGTATCGTTTTAAATTCAAAAAAAGAAGTATTTACTTTAGTTGTACATAATTCCCTTTGGACAAATTTCAAAGTTGTTTCGATTTCTGCAAACTCTGATTGTAATTTGTTTTCATTAAATTTCAGAATTCTTAATTGACGGTTTAAGCCATTATTGTCATCTTCCAGTTTCCTGCACTTGAGTTCCCATTGGTATTCTGTATCCGCAGCTTTCTTAAACTTTTTTGATATAACGTCACATCTTCCTAATAGTTCATTGAACGATTTTTTATAAAATTTTTTGTTACTATCTTCGTTACTCTGTTCAAATTGTTTGTATAGTTTTTGTAAGTTATTTCTTTCAGAAACCACTTCATCAAACTCTACTAATTTTGTATTTAACTTGCCTATTTTTTCCTTTTGACAGGATATAATCTCTTTTAACTCTTGTGACGTGTCTTCTGAGTACATCTATAAGTATATAATGTTAAATAAGTATTTTAGATATTATATTGATACATAATATTGTGAATACTATATAACTTACTTCGTATAGATTTATTATTTGTATAAATTTAGAATACAATTTAAATGTAACAAAATTTGTGAGTAATTTATTTTTTTATTCATATATTATAATTTTTAATTAGTTGTGCTGTTTGTTTATAAACAAACCAAAGTTATGTTACTATACTTGTAACACTAATAAACAATGACCTAAAATTGAATTATAACATAGATGCCGAGATAATATTTATTTTGATTTGTTACGTAGGTAGGTACACTGCAATTTTTTAACATAAAAATATATTTGATTGTTCTCTAGAATAATTAAGGACGTTCAAATTAAAACTCATTATTAATATAATTATTGCCTATCAAATTTTTAGATATTGCACTATTTCATAAAATACATACATTTAATTAAAACATATTTAGTTATAAGATACATATAATTATACTGAATATTGATTTACATATTACGTACATATATTACTGACATACGTGACTATAGGATCAAAATGTTCGAACTGTTAAACCTCTTTTTATAATACAAAAATCTATATAATAACCTTAAAACAATACTAAGTATGATACAGTAATTTTTAGTTTACGTAAAAAATAAACCTATATTATATTAATTTAAAAGCTTTTTTACTTCCACTGTTTTTTTTTTTAATCTCCGGAGCCCGGAGACTGCAAGTCTGCGCTCTGTTTTTCCGCCGAGCCAATATCATTTATTAACGAAGAAATTTCCATATTACAAAACATTTCTATCTAATGCTAAACATACATTTTTAAGACTTACAATAAACCACCTTACATTCAACTATTTCACGAACTTAAACATAATAATTAAAATGTTTCACCATTATTTATTTCATGAATTATTTGGGCCTAAAGTCAATGATCAGCAATAAAATATATTAATTGAATTGAGTAACCAAAACAATTTGCACTGGAACGAATAAAAGAAGAATGTATTAGTCAATAATATTATCATCACCTAGCTGAAAATTAATTTTAAAATAGATTTTATCAGTCGAACAAATCAATTAATTATTTTATTATTTTTCTTCTTTAAATTTGTCATAAAAGATAATGTGTTAACATAAATCATTGAAATTCATTTCTGGAACAATTAGACATTTTAAAACTCTTTATCAAAACACCGAGACGCTATTTTAAAATCAGTAATAGTCCCGAATAAACCAAGACGTACCTATAACAGTTCTATTCTATACTTGCTTTAGAATATCTATTATTACATAAGATTGTTGTGGATTCGTCATGGCGGAATGAAAATTAAATTATAATTGAAAAAGTCAATCTAAATTTTTCAGTCACTTCTATAACTATAACCGTTTGTTATCAAGCGTACGAACGTCGGATACAAGAATAAAACCGGAAAAACTTCCGCTCCAAGGTCGGTGATACATTCTTTTGATACGCAATGTATTTCCTTAGAAATATAAGCTGACAGGTCGTCACCACTTAGAATATTTTTCATCGTATACAATGATTTAAATTAAATCAAAATTGAACACGTCCATCACCAGGCTTTATGCTTGTGTGCAGTATACAACACAAATTTTACAATTCTAAACGCTTATTATCCAGTACCAACTGGCCATTGTCATTGTTTATTCCATCTCTCTGACTAAACAGCAGAGAGACTTCTCCGATTTTTATTTTGGATAGTTAATGATAGACCTCTTCACTTCGTGTTACAGTAAAATAGTCAACAAAATCGAAAAAATAATAAAAAACTTAACTTTCCATCACAAGCAGAACTATATAAATGATTGCTTACATAAAAACACAAACTCTACGTGTCGACCAGACTTGAAATTAAATGTCGCTCTGATTTAAGAATAAAAAAAATAATTATTATTATAGACTATGACGGTAAGAAACAGAAACACGTCACTGCAATACAATATTATTTTTGTATATATTATTTGTAATATAATTACTCTAAGTTACTGCCCCTTGACGGACAATCGAACACAATATAATGCACGCCATTTGTTATCTTTTATATATTAAATTTCAAACACGATTATAGAGAATTCACGATAATAAGATATTATATTATCAACATTTTGATCGTGATTTCAAATAAATTATCACTACTCTTATCTTAAAAGTAAATCTATCGTTTTCGGCACGGTCGATGAATTCTAAACAATTTAATTATTAAATTATTAGATTGCTGCTCGAGTAAAATTAAAAAATATTTTTAAAACTAGGCGTTTTATGTTTTATGACTACGGTACTAGGCCGCTGATAGCATTACATACTAATGACATTATTACGATCATTATTTTTTTTTTCAATATTTACCATAAAATAAACAAATACAATAACTTAAACGTACTCGTTTGATGTAATAAACAGACATTGGCGGCCACTTGCCTAAAAAAAAAAAAAAAAATGATGAACAACGATCAAGACGAAGAAATCAAGCTCAGCAAAACACATTTTGATGCGATAAAACTATTGGAAGGAGCTTTACAAAAAATGGATGGTATTATATCTTCAGGTATGTTGTCATGTTGATCTAAAAGTCGGTGAATGTTTTGTTGTGTCGAAGAAATGACGACGTCGAACATCGAGCAATGATTTCTAATTGACCCAAAGTGTTTTCAAATCAGTATAATGATTATGCTGTTTTCCCAGTTTAGGTTTCTATTGTTCTTGAAAGCAAGTGACATCTTTTATAATGCTGGACAAAATTTTTATTTGTCTTATCATATAAATTATAATTAGTTAGATGATATTATTTTTTAATTCCTTTTCTATGAACTGTACCTATGCCTTGTTTACTATTTTTAATGCCTACTTAAAATTAATCGAATTTAAAGCTTAATAAATTAACTGAATTTATTAGTAGAACTATACAATATAATTTAGTTTAATAGAGTTTAATACTTAGTATATTAACAATACTAGTAAGTTATGATTTAGGGTACTTTTCTGTTATACCTACTATCGCGACTCTCTATTCTGTTATCTCGACTACTATAGTACTATCCAGATATTCCGTATTTTAATACATAATACATGTCATGAATTGCCATTTATATTTTAATGTATATTAGTATAATGTTTATTTTGAGTAATCACATAAATTATCACAGTAGTGGAGAGTTATAGACTATAATATAAAACATAAAATCATCAAAATTATTACAAAACATCAAATTACGATTAAATAAATATAAATAAATTATCACAGTTACAGTTGCAAAATTCTAAAAGTTATTATAATGTAAAACAAAGTCGTCAAAATTATCAAAAAAAAATGTCAAAATACAATATTAAATAAATAAAAATAAATTATCACAGTTACAGTTGCAAAAGTCTAAAAGTTATTATAATATAAAACAAAGTCATCAAAATTATTTGTAAATTCCACAGATTCATAATTATTTTAAAATAATACAACTGTTGGCAACGGCGGCAACAAGTAATCAAGCAAACTTTAGTTCTGTAGTCGCGGCATCGGCGAGGTAGTAGGGATAACAGAAAAGTACCTGATTTAGTATATTCTTAATCATATTAAAAAAAAATTTAACAATATTTAGGCATTTCTATGTGTAAATTGTCTTTGGTTAATTTAGGATGTGTAAATACCATATTATTAAATTAAAGTTAGTTAATAATTAAAATTAACCTGTAATTTTAACTAAATAGATACAATTTTATACTTTTAATTATTACTAAAGTAAAGTACTAGAAAAGTATGAAAATAAACTCAAAAAATAATGTCAAATAAAAATTATTCTTCAGTAATTGTTTTATTTAATAAGGGAGTTTATTTATTTATGAGTTATGATAATAATATTATAAAAGTTGAAAATTCTGTAGAGATTTTTGAAATTTACTACTCAATAATTTTATAACTATTTATTAATAAGTTTATTAGGAATATCACATATATCATAAAGAGTTACAATTACTTATAATCAATTTATCATTCAAATTTCTTTATTTTTAATTAATATAATATCTTAAATGTAAAACATATGTTAGTTTGACAAAAATAAATAAATATTTACTACTTTATGTGGTTTTATTGTAGCATAAAAAATTATTTAAATAAATAATTTATAAAAATCAGGTATGAGATCTTTATTTGTTTCGTTTATTAAATATTGGGTAGCATTCTTTTGGAAGGTTGACACTACACTTTAACAAGATTGATCTTGTGCAAACCAGTTAATTAAAACATAAAAATATAATGAAATTAATATTCATATATTATGATTGATAGGCAATTCAATCTACTGAAGTCATACTATTGGTGAGATTTAAGTAAAATATTTGATGTAGTATAATAATTGTTGCGTATTGTTTTAGATTTAAATATTTTTTCCTTGATGAATTTTTTATTTTTTATTTTGTTTTATTTTATTGTGTAATATGTTTAGATAGTTGTTTCATTAAATTCAAAATTTTAAACCAAAAATATTTATAAGAGGCACACTAATGAACTAATTTATATTCTAGTTACAAAATTAAGTATACTTGTCATTTTAGTATAGAGTAGATGCTGTTATTGCATTAATAAGTACTTAAACTATTTGTTTAGTATTTACATTTATATTTGAAATAATATTTTATTCAATGTATTTTAAATTATCATTTATTATATATTTAATTAAAAACAGTTTTTACACTTCTGTGAATGTTTTTTAGCATATTAGCATATTCATTTCTTTTAGTAGCTTAGTATTTTATCAATTTGTAATATCAATGTTTTGCATGGATAATTTTATAGCAGTAATATATTAATTAAATAAATATTTATTCATTATTGAATTTTAAGTAGCTTAAATAAACTAATTGGTTTCTAAAAATGTTATTAATTTCTTTTTGGCCTATTAGACAATTTTTTATATAGAAAAAAAATTTTCACCTGATTTCCATAGTTAATTTTTTGTTCTAAATTTTTAAGGACTTAT